TTTTTTTTTTTTTTTTTTTTTCTCTATAACAAGAGAAGCAGATAACTTAGCAAATCAGTTATTCTGAAGCCACTCTTTGGCAGCCATCAGGTCGGGAAGCACCACTGCCCCAGATTTCCTCCATTCCTCAGCATCTGATGTCTCAAATCTATCCAATAGCAGGCCATGCATTCCCACGCTCTTCGCAGGGATATAATCTTTTCGCAAACTGTCTCCAATGTGGAGAGCTTCTTCTGGAGCTATATTTCCAGCCCTCTCGATCGCAATCTCGTAGATTCTAGGATCTGGTTTCTCCACACCCTCGAGACCGGAGAATACTCCGAAGTCCCATTCTGATCCCTGAACACTCACGAAGAACAATACCCGTCAGCAGAACTTGCTCGTGTATCAGGAAGAACACTCTTGAACAAAACAGAGTGCCACTTTTCATTGTGCTACAATAAACTCTAATATCAGGAGAAGGAAGGATTCTAAGATCTTTTGTTAAACCATGGGAACGAGTAATGGCCATTTGCATTCACTTCTACCCTATCAAATCATTTTCTTCTAAATGCAACTAGCAGTGAAATTGAAAATTAATACTTAAAAGTACTTTTCAAAGCACCTTATTAATGAATTTTCAAGAGTGCTTAGATTTTCACTTAAAAGTACCTATTTTAAAAGTCGTCTCCACCTCATCACAAGACAAAAATATAGATGTACAGTATACCCAAAAAAGAAAAGGGAACAAGGGCATAATGAGTTCACACATACCTGATTCAAGCCTAAGGCTGGAAGGATCACATCCTGGTACCGGTACTCTGCATTACTCACGATGCCAACCATAAGGCCTTGCTGACGCACCCATCTAAGAAATGGTTGGGAGTCTTCGAACACCTTATAAGGAGCAGATGAACCAAAGGATGCATATATACGTCTAAACACCTTGTCAAATGTCTCCTCGTCATAATCATATCCAGCCTATTGGTAAAACAAGATTTTTCACGTCATAAAAATTTCGGAAATTCTTAGTCTGAAGGTTTTTTAAATTCTGAGCTAGCAGTTGTTGTATGTTTCCCCATTCCACATACAATATAACAACAGGGTTTGACTCAGACTGGCTATGCCTTCAAAAGAGAATGTGGACAGAAAATTCTAACAAATGTGATTGCCATTAATCTAATACTGTTGACTATAGACTATGCAAAATCAACATTGATGAGTATATTTGTGAATCTACTCACTGCAAAATGCCATGCCCCTATATCTAGACGGTTATATCTGTCTCTTACCCTGATAAAGGAATCTCTAACGCAAGTTTTCCACCAAACAATGTTAGGCATTTTTGCTGCATATCCAAAACATGGATAGTTTTTTGCCATCTCCTTATAAGCTAATTTAAAACCCTCATGCATACGTTTGTAATCGGGGCATGGTAGCCCCACTGATTTGGCTGCCATGCAATAGTAATCACCTAGCTCCCCTTTGTAAGCTATCAATGTGCCAGTAACATCTATGGTGATACAGCGCAACTTTGACAAGAGCGACATTTTAATGAAGAATGTTGCAGTTCCAAAGTGAATGATATCAACAATCGCAGCAAATGAAAATTTATCTGAAAGCACCCAACTAACAGACTTCCATCAAGCAGCCAACTACAGCATTAACCAATAAATCCTGCATTCAAGTACATGAATATCAAAACACAACAGCTGTTCAAGAAGATAAAATCAGTGTGTTCTGTGGACAATTCAACTTCAGTATTCAAATACAAAAACCAATGTCTTTTCTGGCAATGCCGACCACCTTATTTTTCACTTCATGTAAAATTTAACATCAAGGATTCGATTGAAATAAATTGATACATTAAAAGAGAAATACGAAGGTCGAAAGAATAAGAACAAAGACGAAAAATCACACACGAGACCTCATCGATATATATAGCCAAAAGTAGAATATCAATGCCCACACACTTAGCAGACCCAATAAAGAAAAAAATAAAAATAAATTAGGAAACCAGCCACTGCTAAGGAAATTCTGCAAAGAGTTTAGTTTTAATGATCAAATAAAGATCCAAAAAAGATCAAAGAGCCAAGAAGATCTTCCATAATCAAATGCATTAATGCCTACCCGGTGGCCTTACCTTCGAGGAAATGTCTAGAAAGAATATGCAATAGCATTCACTTGCAAAAACAGAGGGAGGTTACACTTAATCAATGAACATGAACATCATGAATAAGGTTAGCTTCACCTCAGAGCGACAAACAGAGTCGATAACTAACAGTGGAGCATTCCATAATACTTCGAAAAAGCAACATTAAAAACGCACTAAAAAAATGTTCTTAGCTGAATTAGAGATCCTCACGACAACGATTCAAAAATGTGAAAAGCAAAGTTTGACTTTATTCAGAGAACCAAACAAGAAAACAACCACGATCAGATCACTGGAAATGATTTGTGAGCAGATCAATTAAGAGGTGACAGTGAAAATTTGCAAATACAAAGAGAAACAGAAAACTTCGATACAGTCTAAGACTAGGGAGAAAAGCTGAAGATCAAAACGTGAACATTCATAACAACAAAAGACAACAGAGAGTCGGAGATAGAGAAGAAAGAGAGGGAACAAAAGATTTCAATGAATGATGTGAAAACATACCCGAAAGCCAAAAGGGATTGAATGTTTTGAAATGAAGGGAGTGAATCACAATGTCATCCGAAGCTGGCAGCTTGGGCAGGACGTTGGATGAAGCAACGATCAAGAAGGGAAGGCGAGAGAGAAATAGAGACGCACACGCGTATATATATGACGGGGGTTGGGGGATGAAAAGGTTGGATGGGAATAAAAGGGAGGGGGCTTAATTTTGCATACCTTTCGTCCAAAGTTTGACAAAACCAATGGCCGAACTCAGCATATACATTCTCTCCACTTCTGTTCGCCATTTCCGTTTCTTCCCCCTTCCTCGTCCGAATTTACCATCTTACCCATCTAACCTAACTATCAATTTATGAAATGTTAGTGTTTTTATTTGTTAAATTCAGTAATATTTACACATTCTTATCTTGAACTTTTACTTTGTCCTGTGGTTTAAAACAATAATAAAAATAATTTAATTGAAACTTTTATTACAAATTAAATGTCATCGGAAAAACTTGGAGGGGGAGGCCGTGATTATTGTGTGATATAAACCGGGGACTCCTTTTCAGCAATAACCAACCCCACAGAGTAGAACGGCGTAATGGCAATAAATTTAACGGAAATTGGAGGGCTTCAAAGGCAAAGTTCAAAACAAAACTGTGGACTCAGCCCACGGGTATTCAGTCTCCCTCTCTTTCCCACTTTGGGCGAAGGTAATACAGCTCTGGTTTTGGGTTTTACTGCTTCCGCACTGGTTTTGGGTTTTACGGCTTCGGCTTTGGTTTTCAATTTCATCGTCTGTTCGCAACAGCGAGAATCTTGGATAAGATACTTTTTAGAAATAAAATAATACTGGAGTTTACTTTTGTATATAATTTAACATGTAACAAATTTACAAATATATGGAGTTGAGTTGAAATAATATTTTTAAACCAAAGTATATTCTTCAATATTATGATCCATTTACTGAAACCCAGTATTCTAATACTCAATCAATAATTACACTAATACTTATTACACAAACACTTTTCCTTCATGTTTTTTTCCGTCAGTCTTTCAGTTTTAGAAACCAGCTTCATGGGCGGTAAAAATGGTCAGTTCAGTTCCAGGAGCTTGTTCACGATTACAGGTCACTTTTATGCCTAATAGGAAATTACAATTTCAAAGAGATAAAAGAGGACAAAATATTTGAAAAATACCAGCAGATGACAACTTATCTTGGCTGCTTTCACCAAATTCCTGATTCCTTGATGACAGGTTCTCTTGGATGCCTCCTGCAGATTGACTACTAGTTCGTTTTATGAGAAACAACGAGCAAGAATTTGAACAATGATAGAAAGTTAGATGAACGGGACTGCCTCGGGAACCCATAAACCGATCAAATGCAACCCCAATGCCAAATCAAAATTTACTCCACAGAAGCAATTTACAAAACTTGAAATTTGTCAGCGTTGACCACTTTTAATTCCCAGTTCGTGTGAACCTCGTTAAAATGGCCACATTTCTTTCAGTCCAAGTTTTAATTCAATTATCATATCGGGAACCCATATATGTATGCATGTACATGCAGAGTTTCAAATACAGAAGAGGGCTGAAACACGGATCCACCTCACGTGGATGTACCCAGAAGAACGAGGATCCTAGAATTCTATTAAAGTTATGCTCGACAAGCTTGAACGCTTTCGAGAAATTCACAATACATCAAAACATCTAATACAAGTATGTTCGAGGAGTCTGCTCACAAGGCTCTCAGACTCGGGAATGAGAGAATATGTCAGGCTGTTCCAAAAATGAAATGTCAGCGAGTCTTTCAAGATTTTCTTCAATAGAGCCTCTTGCTCAGCCTTTTCGATTGTGGATGCTGGTGCAGCAAAGTATCTAAATCCAATATAGATGATTGCACAAAAAAGAAGAATTAATAATATAAACCGCATTAAACTTTAGAACACTTTTAGACAAAGAGTAGCTTATTGCTTGTTTGAAATGACCTAAGTGTTAAAAAAGTGTTCGAAATATAATTTTGAAATGTAAATATATATTTAGAAAGCCATCCTAAAAATCCCTAAAAAATGTAAATATATATATAGAAAGCCATCCTAAAAATCCCTAAAAAATGTGAGTGGTTAAGTATTTGAATAACCCAATGGTAAGGTATTGCTCTTACGTTAGTCAATATACTTGGAAAAGGAAAAAAAAAAAAAAAAAAAAAAAAAAAAAGCACCAAGGCAAATACAAAAGCTCCCAGCCAAATCGAGAGGGCTGGTAAAATTTCTCCCCTTTTTCCTGAAAACTCTCTACAGAAATGCATAAAAAGCATGGCACTACCCACCCCCATCAAAAACTACACTCCCTCACTCCAGTGCATCCGCTCTAAACGAACTTCCACCCGGGCTCTAAACTAACTTCCACCCTGCCTGATTACATCCTTGAAGACAATATTCGTGTGACCCACGGGTGATGTTAGGCCCTGATCCAAATTCAGTATACACTAAAGGTAAGAAGGGTATTGGGGGTGCAAGTTACTTTAGAGAGAATGCACTGGAGTGAGGGAGAGTAGAGAGAATGCACTGGAGTGAGGGAGAGTTGTTCTGTATATTTTGATGGGGTGGGTAGTGCCATGCCTTTTATGCATTTTTGTAGAGAGTTCTCAAGAAACAGGGGAGAGATTACCAGCCCTCTCGATTTGACTGGGAGCTTTTGTATTTTGGTGCTTTTTTTCTCTCCTTTTCCAAGTATATTGAATAACGTAAGAGCAGTACCTTACCATTCATCCGGGTAGCTCAATGTTCAGGAAAAGAATTTCCAGCTCACAAGTAACTCATCAGCCCCCGAAGGTATCCGAGAGAATAGGAGGGCCCGTTTGAATCTCATTGTCACGGCCCACAGCTTTCTTTAGTTGAGACACATGAAAGACGAGATGAAACATTGCTTCCTTAGGCAAATTTCAAACGGTACGTCACTAGCCCAATACGTTCCTCAACACAGTAAGACCCAAACAATTTTGGAGTCAGCTTCTCATTTCGTCCTTTCGGCTGTCCTTTCGGCTAACGGATAGGGCTTAACCTTCAAGAAACCCCAATGTCCCCTCAACGTTAACTTCCCTCCGCTTACCATCAGAATACTTCTTCATGCGATTTTGTGCCTCCTGCAAGAGCTGATCCATGGTGGAATTCTGAATTTTCTAATCACCATATGACACCAGCGGGTCTAACACCGGTCTCCATAACTAATAAAAAATTGTCAAAGCATGGCAGAAGGATTGTCAAGTATTCAAGAAAATAATTAGGTGATAAGTGGAGGTGGTCTGGGGAAAGGGTAAACCTTCAAAAAGACTTCTCACGGAATAAAAAACCGCAAAAGATAAATTGACAGGAAAGATGTTGTAGAACTCAGAGAATGCTGATTCGGCGGAACTGGAATTATTATGTGCGTCAGGGGACTATTAACGCTGTGAGATGGAGCAAAAGAAACAGGAGTAATTGATGTCTTAAAAAGAGCCTTCTAACCTTCTGATTCTGCTACCGGAAAACCAATTCCAGTAGAATCCCCTTGAATCAATTTTCTAGGCTGATATTTAGTTACGACTCACGAGACCTTCCCTTAAGTCAGACGTTCCCTAGATTGTTCTACTTATCTTCAAAGGCACCAGGAAAACTCAGCAAGTTTTAAAGGCCATACTTGAGACATCCGATCTCTTAAACTCACAAATCAGCAAGTAATACCATATAGACTTTTTTTTTTTTTTTTTTTTTTTTTTTTTTTTTTTTTTTTTTTTTTTTTTTTTTTTTTTTTTTTTTTTTTTTTTT